TACCTCTCGGGTCATATCTCTGGTGAGGACCCTCGCCTAGAGTCATGTGTCTAGCCCTGAGGTCAGATCTCCCGGGAGGACCCTCACCTAGAGTCGTGTGTCTAGCTCTGAGGTCAGATCTCCCGGGAGGACCCTCACCTTCAGTTGTGTCTAGCTCTGAGGTCAGATCTCCCGGGAGGACCCTCACCTTCAGTTGTGTCTAGCTCTGAGGTCAGATCTCCCGGGAGGACCCTCACCTGGAGTCATGTGTTAGCTCTGAGGTCATATCTCCGGTGAGGACCCTCATCTGCAGTCGTGTGTCTAGCTCTGAGGTCAGATCTCCCGGGAGGACCCTCACCTAGAGTCATGTGTCTAGCTCTGAGGTCATATCTCCGGGGAGGACCCTCACCTAGAGTCGTGTGTCTAGCTCTGAGGTCATATCTCCGGGGAGGGCCCTCATCTTGAGTCGTGTGTCTAGCTCTGAGGTCATATCTCCGGGGAGGGCCCTCATCTTGAGTCGTGTGTCTAGCTCTGAGGTCATATCTCCGGTGAGGACCCTCTCCTAGAGTCATGTGTCTGGCCCTGAGGTCATATCTCCGGGGAGGACCCTCACCTAGAGTCGTGTGTCTAGCTCTGAGGTCATATCTCCCGGGAGGACCCTCACCTAGAGTCGTGTGTCTAGCTCTGAGGTCATATCTCCGGGGAGGGCCCTCATCTTGAGTCGTGTGTCTAGCTCTGAGGTCATATCTCCGGTGAGGACCCTCTCCTAGAGTCATGTGTCTGGCCCTGAGGTCAGATCTCCCGGGAGGACCCTCACCTTGAGTCGTGTGTCTAGCTCTGAGGTCATATCTCTGGGGAGGGGCCTCACCTGGAGTCATGTGTTAGCTCTGAGGTCAGATCTCCCGGGAGGACCCTCACCTTCAGTTGTGTCTAGCTCTGAGGTCAGATCTCCCGGGAGGACCCTCACCTTCAGTTGTGTCTAGCTCTGAGGTCATATCTCTGGGGAGGGCCCTCATCTGGAATCATGTGTTAGCTCTGAGGTCAGATGTCCCGGGAGGACCCTCCTCTGCAGTCGTGTGTCTAGCTCTGTGGTCAGATCTCCGGGGGGACCCTCACCTTCAGTTGTGTCTAGCTCTGAGGTCAGATCTCCCGGGAGGACCCTCACCTCAGATCTCCCGGGAGGACCCTCACCTTGAGTCATGTGTCTAGCTCTGAGGTCATATCACCGGTGAGGACCCTCACCTAGAGTCGTGTGTCTAGCTCTGAGGTCATATCTCCGGGGAGGACCCTCACCTGGAGTCATGTGTTAGCTCTGAGGTCATATCACCGGTGAGGACCCTCATCTGCAGTCGTGTGTCTAGCTCTGAGGTCAGATCTCCCGGGAGGACCCTCACCTAGAGTCGTGTGTCTAGCTCTGAGGTCATATCTCCGGTGAGGACCCTCGCCTAGAGTCATGTGTCTAGCCCTGAGGTCAGATCTCCCGGGAGGACCCTCACCTAGAGTCGTGTGTCTAGCTCTGAGGTCAGATCTCCCGGGAGGACCCTCGCCCGGAGTAGGACATCCAAGTCTAGCTATCTGAGGACGGGGTGGATGATCTATGGTGACGGTAGCGCTTTGTGTCTGTGACGGTCTATCCCGCAGAGCGCACCGGTCTGTGGCCTGGAAATCATTTTCCGACATCTGTTTTTTATGAAGTGTTTTCCTCAGACGGTGACTTGTCCCGATACCTGCCGGCTAATGATTGGTGGGCTGTAATCTGAGTGCGGGATGTTACTCACCAGCTTCCTCTGGTTGCTGAGGCAGAAGGTGCAGATCTGCTTGGGCTGGCCCGGCTCTGGATCTCGGTGTTTCGGGCTGTTGGCGGTTGGGTGATGCTGGTAGTAGGGACCACCGGTGTGACACGGCTGGCCGTCCCCACAGGTGTCTCCGAGTAGTAAGACGTTTCCTAGATGGGAGATGTAGCTGGACGCCAGGCGCAGAGTCTCTATTTTACTCAGCTTGCGGTCGGCGGGCTCGGTGGGGATAAGCGTGCGCAGGGCGGTGAAGGCGCTGTTGACGCTGTTGGTCCGGTCCCTTTCGCGGGCGTTGGCCGTGTGGCGCTGTCGCGGCTCGCGCTGCAGTTGAGAACACTTCTTGTCTCCTCTCTTGACGTCCATGGAGTGATGAAAGGCTTTATCGCCGCACCCCGAGCTGTCACTGCCGCTCTCGTCGTCATCTGAGAGCATGCTGATGTCCGGGTACAGGAAGCGGGCC